AGAGGGGGGGGGGGGGGGGGGGCAGACAGACAGACAAAGCTGACACAGACATTCATGGTTATGGCGTTTGTCTTCTCAAGCAACTACTACACATACTGAGGCCCTGCTTTCCAAGAAGTGGTTGGACATCTGCCTGCCATTGGGAAGTAGCGAATGAATTCTTATTTTTGCTTTGCTTCTGTGTACGGCTTTTGTTTTTCTTATTAAACTGCCTTTATCTCAACCCACAAGCTTGTCCATCTTATTTTCTCTCCCTGTCCTGTTGATGAGGGGGAGTGAGAGAACAACTGCATGGAGGGCTGGCAGCCAGCCAAGGTCAAGCCACCACATCGGTTTTGGTTTAAATAATTTTTTAGAAATATTCTATGGATACAAAATAGCAAGAAACAGTAAGGAGGCAGTGTCAAACTAGTGTTCTTCAGGCCTTTTATTACCAGCCTTCATTTTTTTCAGTATTATCAAAGATGGCTTCATAGTTATTCCTTCAAGTCACTTGAAAAGAACTTCAGTGTTTTAATCAATGCTTGTGCCATTTTACTGGTCATCTATTTAATCTCAAACATAATATTCCATATTCACATATACTGTTTTGTTCTTTCATATTTGAACATCCCTTCCAACTCAAGGGAATATTGGTATCATCCTTATCACTTCTTATAGAAGAGATTTTCATCTGAACCTTAAATTGACTTCTAAAAGTCTCCATATATATGGGTCTTCTTCAGTGTTCCAATAATATCTACTGTAAAGCCCTGTGCTATTCACTGAAACTGATCCATAAAAGCATTTATCATCTACAGGTTCTGCTAAAGCCAGCCCCTCTAATAAGCAGATGGCTTATTAGCTTTAATATTAGGTATTAGTCCAATATTCTGCCAACTTTTTTTTTTTTTTAACCTTAATGACTTCAGCGCTTGGCTTTTACAGTAAAAGGCTCCTCCTGCCTCCCTTCTTTCGTCTATTTCCAGACTCTCTCTGTTCCTTTATATTTAATTTTCCTGCAACTTGTGTTTTAGCTAATTTCCATGTTGGAAACTCCTCTGTGTATAAATCTTCCCTTCACAACGTATACATTAGACACCTCAAGCTTGTGTGTGTGTGGCAATTTATCTTAAGACTTCTGCTGTCACTCTTGCTTCACCTTTGCTTTCTGAGACAAGCAGGATTAGGTATGGGAATGTTTCTTGCTTTATCCACCCATCTGTTTGCTTATTTCCATCCTGGCTTTTTGCCTAAAGGTCAGCTTGAGTACATACATCCTATTTAAACTAGAAAAAAAAATTCTTATTTTGTTCAAATGTGGTTAAGCTTGCCACATCTGTTTCAGACTACAGTTAAGCTGTTATCACTAGTTCTGATGGCCTGCATGGCTCCAGTAAAATCTTGTTTCATTTAGAAGATACCTCAGCCACTCTGCAGGACTCAAATGACACAAATTCCCCTCCCTTCTCCTGTGAAGGGGTAAAATACCACAAGACATAATGAGTCCAATAGACCTCAGTCAAAAAGAGAGAGTAACCAACTGAGCAACAATGAGCTCCTGTTTTGTGAAAAACTCTTAACCAGTTTAAAAGCAACCTCTTCAGTTTAATGAGATTATGTCCTCTATTGCATGTCTGAGCACAACTCCTACTACCATTGAACAGGTTTCCCCTCCACCCACAAGAATTTTTCTTAAGCAGGTATGTATCTTAGGCTTCTCTCACACAAGCTGTGTACTGCATGTAAGTACTTACATCTGTGGAAGCTCAAAGCTGAAAGCATATGAATGCCTTCCTGAATGAATGGTGTGAAGGCCTTCTTCAGAATTGTCATCATCTAGGAGGGAAAAACCCAATATGCTATTCCACCTGTGAACATTTTACACAGCATAATATATTATATAGGTTTCTTTTCCAGAATAAGAGGGATTTATACATTCTTTACAATACTAAGAACACAGTGTCCCAGAAACAAGTCTCTCCAGTCCATTTGTATTAACTGCTAGATGTATGGCTGCAGAATTTTTAAGGTTAGGCGAGATTCCAAGATTCACCTTACATAAAAGCAGACGTTAACTTGTTTTAATTTATGATCTTGATTCTGAGTACTGACATAGTTGTAACTGCTGCCATTTCAAGGTCTGCCTGAAAGATCTGTAATGGAAACTATTTTCCAATATGATTTCTAGTTAAAACTTAAAATGAAATAGAGCTCTCTAATAGTATTAAGTGATCTTAGTATTAAGTCTGCTACATTAATAGATTAAATTTAGTAATTCAGCTTCCTTCTATCTCCTGCCTAGCAAGTGTCCAAAAATTGATTTTTAAAAAGTGCACAAGCACCACCTAGAAAGTAGCAAACAAATTCAGGGGCACAAAAGGTGGCAAGCTGTCCAATTAATGTTGTTTAGAGCTAATGTATCAAAAATTCAAAGTTTAGCTCGATTTTGCTTGGATAGCAAAGACCCAAATATTTCCTAATTTCAACAAGAAAGCTGACCTTGGTTTATAGTCATGATTCCTTGTATTGCTTTAAATGCTCCAACAAATTTGTGGTTTGTTCTGATATAATTACCATAAAACCAGAAAAATGCTGATTCCATCAAAACAGAAAGTTATTTGGAGAAAATAATTGAGCATCTCATATACAAAAGGGTTGGGGTAATAAACACACATATAGTGGGATTATGCAAAAGATACTACCTATTAATAGTCTGAAACATCATGAAGGAATATTGGTACATTTTAAGATTTTTTTTTTTTTTTAGTTCCCATTGTCCCACAAAAATGCTGATGCTCTGATTTCTTTAGTGCACCAAAAATGCTGAAACAAACCCATGCAAAAATATAAAAACACTAGAACACTATTTACACAAATGCATCCTCAGCTCGTAATGTCATGAAATAAGAATCTTCAATATACCGAAAGAGCAAAACAATGTGGATAATGCTTTTTTTGTTAAAAAACACTTGGAGGTTTTGGGTTTTTTTTAAATTAAAAATAATAATCTTTTCCTTGCACATAAGTTTTTTATCCCTTCTTCACTTCCTTTCTGCCAGATCAGCAGTCCCATTGAGCCTGAGCAGCAGCAGCAGAACTGTGATAAACAAGTACTGAGCTGTCAATCACAGACTACGCTGGAGCAGGAGAGGACTGGCCTAAACAGGCGCGAGCAGATCCCCTGAGAGCCCCCCCCCCAGCCACTCATATACATACAGTATACATTACACCCCACCACATTCACTCAGCAACTCTGCTCACAGCCTAGCCTGACTAGCGCAGATGTAAGGAGAGAGGGAGGGGCACCACCCATGCCTCACCATCCGGTCTCCTCATACCACAGGGCCATGCTGCTGGCTTGCCTGGGCCTGCCCTGTGCTACATGCAAGGTGACACCCCAATCCTGCACTTCTCTCAGGAGCATGTGCTGACCATTACTGAAAGGCGATTCCGAATAGTGCTGGCTGGGGGCACGAGAGGGGAAAGACAACCGAGTGAGGGTTGTGAGAGGCTGTAGGGCCATGTGTCCCAGTGGCTGCCCCTGCTCGCAGCCCCTTGCTGGCCCAGTGGAGGTGCGCGGCAGGAGCTTGAATGCTTCTGTCTGTCCCCAGAGATGGACTTTCCCAAGAAAGGCAGCGTGCCCTCTGAGCCGTCAAGGCCGACATTGCCAGGCAGGCCCCATTCCCAACAAAAAGTGACCAGAGTGACAGCACTCCCCCTTAGCAGTGCAGCACCCCCAGCGTCCTACCAAGGACAAGATCGGATCCATAACTGGGGGAGGAAAGGCAGGCAGCAAAGGAGAAAGCAGTAACTGCTGAACTGAAACACCACCAACCCCCCCCCCCCCCCTAGCGCCCTCCCCCACCGTGCATACTCTGTAACTCCTCAGGGAAGCAAGGACCGGAGCACCCCCAACCCCGCACAGGGCTGACCTCGAGGCGGCCAGAGCCCGTTCGCCCCGCCTCCAGCACACACCCAGAGTGCGGGCAGGGGAGCCTGCTCCCTCAGCCTCGCTCTTCCCCCACGTCCCAGGCCCCTATAATCAGCGGCTGGCATCGCCTTAGCAACAGGCTAACAAACCCCAGCAGGCCAATGACAAGGCGGGGACAGGGCGTGGCCTTCCGGACTATGCTAGGGTACGAGGTGTTGAGTTAAACTCCAGTCCGTGCAGCAGTGTTCGCAGTCCTGCCCCTGCAGCCGGGAGAGGGGCAGGGGCAGCGGTGTCCCGGGACAACTGCTTAAGTTTTTACGTGCCGCACACCCTGTCTTGCTTCTGGTGTCGAAATGTGTCAGATCTGTCCCCTCCCTACCACCTTTGTTCCGTTTCCAGCCAAACCCAAGCACCTACTATCGGGGTCAGCATTTGGATCTGCAGCCCACATGCAAAGTCATTGCTGCTGTTTAAGCAGACAGTTAGAAGCACGGGGTCGCCCTCCTACTTGTAAGCATACATCCTGCTATGAACGACTCATGCACGTTTGCACGTTTCTGTCATCTGCAAACCAAAGGTGAATGAACTTTCACATGAGAGAATTCTTTCTAAGGCGGCAGTATAAAGAACATTTGAGCTACAAAGCCACCTCATGAGTGACCCGTGCTTGCTTGCATCACGATAACATAATTAAAATCAATAGCAACTCCACTCTGCTACAGTATTTATTTCAGAAGTGCTTAATAAAAGGCTCAATACAACCTAGGGTCGAACTTCTTCAAAAATTGCATTTTACTGCAGAGGATCTCTGCAGTAAATATGCTGCATATTTAAAACAAAAACAAAACAACACACCAAAACACCCGACCCAAATTATGTAATCAGTTTTAACATTTTCTTGTGCTAGGAATTAAGTCATCGCCACCACCTGACGTGTGCAACCAATCTGCGGAGAGAAGGAGTACTCCCTCCCTTCTCCCCAGGACCGGTCCCAAACAGGATTGAACCGCTTCTAACAAAGGGTGGAAACTTCAGAAAAAACAAGCTTAGAGTCCCTTATACTTTCACAACGTAACTATGCGAACAACAGATTACCAAATTTAAGACCCACAATCCCACTCACAATGTAATACCCCATTTCCATACCTAAAATAAGGGAATCTGCAGGGCACTTTCCGTTTCTATAGAGGCTTAGCAGACCAGGTTCCAGAACTCCCCAACTCAGAGAAGCGATGCTCCGATCGTACAACCATGAACTCTTATTTGACCTTTCAGACAGATTTTTACATTTGGGTCCCCAATAGAGGAGTTGAATAAAAGAAATGAAAGTAATTTACAAGTATACTAGTTTAGAACAAAGGAAGAGGTGGAAAATTACAGGTGGGGTGGTGATAGCCACAGGGAATCTTTTATCTGCCAACAATGAACCAACCTTAAAAATCATCACATATCAGTCTGAAATTCAGACCTGCATCTATTATGTGTCAAAAAGTCTAGTGTTATGTTTTAATTACACTTATGATTCGACAGGATGCTACCAAGAAAGCAATTTACTGCATATCTGGCTTTGATTTAACAATTAATTTCCCCATAGAGAAACAACTCCTGCTAATATCACTAAGAAAAAAACCGACATTGCAGATCAATAAAACTGTATTAAAAAAATGCAAATCCTTATGAAAAGACTCTGTTAAAAAGCATGTATTTTAAGAAAGTCCTGTTTGCAGGTACTTCGAAAATGCACCTCGACGCGGTTTTAATATTAAGTAAATGTTCAAATAATCAAAAATAAAACCTAAGATCGTAACCGGCATTTCCTCATCTTTAGAAATAGCGAACTCTATGAGACTGCATACTAAAAAGGGATAAACCAAGACGATGCAAAGATGTGTCTTTTTCTGGAAAAATGTCTGCATATAGTGAATAAATAAGTGAAAAGCTTACCTCTTTCGTGCCCGAGGAGAACATCCTTATGGTTAAAATACTCTACTTCTTCAGTGTAATTTTGTGTATAGGCAGTGTTGGATCCAGCATTTCTAGATTCAGTCCAACGTACTTTTGCATGTCCTCTTGCATGAATTTTAAGAGATTTTACTCTAATTTCCCCAGTAACTTCTAAATTCACCCTTCCCGAGACTGTGTCCCCGCTAGAATAGACGGGGATATTGCTGTCATTGAGACAGTCAAAGCTCATTGTCAAACTCTTCACCTTCCCCAGCACCATATTTTATAACAAAGTGTATAAAAATATACTGTAAAAAAAAAAAAAAGTCAAGGTCTCATACAAAATGCTATCTTTACGCTGAACAACGATTCTGCCACGCAAAGAGCCTGCCAACAAGATCAGCGTGTCCCCTACAAACGCTTCATAGGAATTACTGAGAAAACCCCAGCGGTGGCGGTGACCACCCAACGCTGTAATCTTCTTACAAAGACAGCTACCCATACGCTGTCAGCTCACTTTAAGAACAGCTTTGTGAAAAACAACCTCGCCGCGCATGCGTGAGTCGAGTCGCGGCGGCGGTTTCCTCCGCCGTTTGCGCGTATCTTCCCTGTTGTGTGCGTTTTTCTTTTGTTATTGCTCCAGCCTCGTGCAGAGGGCCGGAGTATTCCCCGGTAGAGCCAGGGCTCCGCTGCGAGCCCGCAGTGCGGTGTTGAGATAGGTACTGAAGAACTGAGAGAAAAATGTGTGTGGCGGGGGGGGTGACGGC